ATATTTAGAAAACCCCAAAGATTCAACCAAGAAACTCTGAACTGATAAAGTGAATTTTAGTAAAGGTCTCAGGATTACAAAATCAATACACAGAAATCAGAGGCATTCGTATACGCCAACAACAATCAAATTGAGACCAAAGTAAAGACTCAATACCCTTCACAATAGCAACAAAGAAATTAATACCTAGGAGTATACTTAACCAAGGAGGTAAAAGAGCTCTACAGGAGACTATGAAACACTGAGAAGGAATAGCAGAGGATTAACAGAGAAATCCATTCCATGCCGTGGATCGGCAGACTCACATCATTAAATGCTATACTACCAAACTGATCTACAGATTCAATGCAATACCTATTAAAAATCCCATCAGCATTCTTCCAGATATAGAAAAATTAATTTTATGTATTGTATGGAACCAAAGAATCGCCCGAATTATCAAGGCAATTCTAGGCACAAAACAAAATCGGAGGTATTATAGTGCCAGATATGTTCAGAACTATAGCTACAAAACAGTATAGATTAACATATTACATTTTTGTATTGGCACAAAATTAAATTAGTGTATATTTACAGATAGGAACAGATCTGTTCACTATTTCTCTGATAAATGCTACATCGTCTATATAGCAATCAATCTCTTGACAAACGCAGATCAAAAAATCAATAGTTTATCAGCTGGAATAAGATATATCTATTACAAAAAATAGTTTGAGTTATTCTAATTTTTTATTATTGTCTGAGAAACCTGTGATTATATTAGTATAAGGCTTAGAAATAATATGCTAGAGCCTATCAACCTATTCACTCTCCTCATTTATTCAACTCTGTAGTCCTGTGTAACAGACTTATACTAAGGTATGTATAATCACTCTTGTAGATATTTATATGGAGGAAAATGTGGGAACACTCTCCTATATGATCTTAGCCTCTTATGCAAAGAGTGTGATATGACTTAGTCCAAAGGTCAATATAAGCTTGAGCAACAAAATTATATTTAATGTCTATTATGTAATACATAATATTAGTTCTGCACTAGCATAGAACAGTCATGAGTAAAGCTAATGTATTCCATACAGAATGTTGAAATAATTTTTTCTGTCTTATTGACTTCTTAATCTTATTATCCTGATAATAAGGTGATTGTCTGATAGTTTAACTAGATATATTATTTATCTGTATAGATATCCACTCAATTCGATCAATATACGGCAAGTAAAAGATCAAAATACTACCTATTAAAAAGTGGGCAATAGGACTTGAACAGGTTAATATTCTAAGATTGATGAAAATGAGCCACAAATATTGAAAAATGTACTCAATTCTCTTCATTAATCATCAAGAAGATGATGCAAATCAAACCAAATGAGGTATCATTAACTCCATGATGGCCTTTTCAAAAAGCTCTCCAAATAATAAATTCTGCGTGGATGTGGAGAGAGAGGAACACCTACACTGATGAGTGGGACAGCAAACTAGTTCAACCGTCTGTGGAAAGCAAATATGCAGATACCTATAAAGCGATACAAGTGAATCTACTCATGTTGCGATTGCTTAATGTCCATTTTGTCTGATGTCTCTACCCAAAGTCGATTCTGATTGAATCATCTTTACAAAAAAACACCGGCATATTGAATGTTTGTTATATGCAGTTATCAATTTCATATTGTAAGTCGCATAACTGTGGTAAATCAAGGTCCCAAGTGCCCTCTATTTTATAGTCATCTAAGAAATTCTGGATAATACTTTTAAGAATGTTTATGCTGTGTGTATTATATGTGTTATTATTTTCTCATCAATATTATCAGCTCTAAGGAAACAACGGTTTATATGGTGATTAATGAGTGAGATGTGCACCATCTGGGGGATGGTCATGCTGGAAACTCAGACTTGTGGGGGTAGGGGGGGAGGGCATTTATTGAAACCTTAAAATCTGTACCCCCATAATATGCCGAAATAAAAAAAAGAAAAGAAAAGAAACTGCTAAATTGTTTTCCAGAGTGGCAGTTCCATTTTGCATTCCCACCGGCAATGCAGATGTGATCCCATTTCTCTACATCCTTATTAGCATTTGGTGTTCTTACTATTTATATTTTAGCCCTCCTAATAGGTGTGTAGTGACATCTCATTGTGGTTTCAATTTGCATTTGCCATCTATGTATCTTTTTTGGTAAAATATACCTTCATCTTTTGCCCACATTCTAACTGGATTGTTTTCATTTTTTTTCTGTAAAGCATTGAGAGTTATTTTTGTATTCTAAACACTAGTAATTTGTTGGCTATGTGGTTTGCAAGTATTTTCTTGTACTCCGTAGCTGTCTTTTCATCCATTTATCTTGGTCTTTCACAAAGCAAAAGTTCCTTATTTTAATGAGATCCACTTTCTCAGTTTCTCTTTTTATGGATTGTATTTTTGGTGTCAAGTCTCCTAAAAGTTTTATAGCTTTATGTTTTGTTTTTAAGTCTATGATCGAATTTTAGCTAATTTTTATATAAGGTGCAAGGCTTAGTTCGTTAAGATTTGTTTTTCTGCCTTTTGATGTCCAGATGCTCCAGCGCCATTAATTTTACACTGTATCAAAAGTTGATTTGGCATATTTGCATGGATCTATTTCTGGGTTTTCCATTTGTTTCTATAGATTATTATGTCTGTTTCTCTGCCAATACCACATAGTCTTGGTTACTGTAGCTGTATAGTAAGCTTTAATCTCGAGTAGAGCAATTCCTCCCACTTCATTCTTTTTCAAGATTGTTGTAGGTATTCTAGAGCTTGTGCCTTTCCTTTCACATTTTAGAATAAGCTTATCTTAAGTCCACAAAAACCTGTTGGGAATTTGGTAACATTTACATCAAATCAAAAGATTAATTTGTGGAGAACTGAGATCTTTTCTATGTTGGGTTTTCCAATTCATGAACATGGGATGTCTTTCATTTCATCCACATTTAGCGGTTTTCAGCACATAGAGGTACATGGTTTCTTAAGCTTATACCTAAGTATTACTTTTATTTTCCGTGATTGTAAATGGTATTATGTTTTTAATGTTTCCACATGTTAGTATACAGACACACTGTTGATTTTTGTGGTTGCTCTTGTATCCCATGACCTTGTTGAACTCACAAGTTCCTGTTTCTGTAGATCTCTTTGGGCTTTTATCTGTAGATAACCATGTCATCTGCATGACTTTAATTTTTTCCCTTTCCATCTGTATCCCTTTTATTTCGTTTTCTTGCCTTATTGCAGGGACTAGAACTTCTAGAACTATGTTTAATAAGATTAATGAGAACAGACATCCTTGCCTTGTTTCCAACCCTAGAAGGAAAAACATTCATTCTTTCAGTACGAAGCATGACATAAGCTGTAGATTTTTACCACATCTTACAATATTATTTTTGTCTTCTTTTCCTCTCCCCACCCCTTTTCTTTTTTTAAGGGGACGTTTAAGACTCAGGGATTGGCGCAAGTGAGATGACAAAGCAAAAAGAAAGGTGTCAGTACTTCCTCCCGCGGGCAAGAGTGACAGGACCACGTTCCTTCCCAGAGCTGGGGCCCTTGGCAGCCCTAATGGGCGCTAGAGAGCTAATCTCACTGACGGGGCCCTCCCGTCCTGCAGCCGGCCGAGGCTCCCCTGTAGATGGCGCCGGCACGGCTGTCAGGCGACAGGACCGCTGTCCCCTCCGCGGCCGGCACCGCCGCGGGCCACGCCGCCTGCCGACCTGAGACGGCGACTGGAGAGTCTCGGATACCCAGTCCAGGGTGACTGGGGCGGCCGGGGCCAGATTCAGACTGTGTGGGCCTGTGGCGGCAGCTTCCCCGGCCGTGAGGAGGGGACGCAAATTCGGAGTCCCGCGGCTGGAAAAAACTGATGGCAACAAAGTGCATCTACAATACGTGTGACCCGTGCAGCAGTGGTTTTTTTTTTTTAAGGGGGACGAGATTAGATAGATGGATCTAAAATTGTGAAGAGGAAAAGGGAAGCGAGCAGCGACCCCTCGCGCGGCGCGTCCCCCTCAGGCATACGCGGCCTCCAGGACCGCGCCCCGCCCCCCGCCCGGGCGCCCCGCCCGGGGCCGAGCCCACACCTGCGCAGGTTGGGCCCCGGCGCCGCGGGCGGGGAGCGAGCGCGGCGGGAGGGGCTGCGAGCCGGGCGGTGAGCGCGGCGGGCCGCGCCTAATGGCGCCAGCGGCGGCGGGGAGGAGGCGGCGGCGACGGCGGCCGGAGGGGGCCGGCAGCCTGGCGCGCCCGCCGCCGCGCCGCCGCCTCCACGCGCCGCCACGGCGCAGGGCGGAGCGCGGTGCCTCGCGCGCGGAGGGCGGGTGGCCGCGCGCGCCCGCCCGGCCCGGCCCGGCCGCCTGCGTCGCCGCCAGGCCTCCTCCGCGGCGCCGCGCGAGGCCGAGCTGGCGCCGCGAAGCCGCCGGGCGGGCGAGCGCCGCGGCGGCTCATGCTGATCGCTGTCCTCCTCCTCCCCCTCAGGCGGCGCTGGCGGCGGCCCCGGGACCCGCGGAAGCCGGCATGCTGGAGAAATTGGAGTTCGAGGAAGAAGGTGAGTGCGCCTCCGCCGCCCGGCGTGCGGGCATTCCCGCGGCGGCCGCCCGAGGAGGGCGTGCGGGACCCCGGGCCCCCGCCCCGTTCGCCCGGCCGCTGCCCCGCCGAGGGCTGCGTCCCGCGGGAGCGTCGGGGCCGGGTGGGGACGTGGGCGCCGGCCAGCTCGGGTCTGCAGGGCGCGCCGTGCCTTCCGGAGGGGACGCCGGCTGGGCTTCCCGAAGGAGCCCGGCCACCGGCATCCGCACCGGTGGGCGGCCCTTTTGTCCTTAACTAGCCGAACTCGAATTAGAGCGAGGTGTCATGCCGTGCTAATGGTACATGTCACCGCACACTCTGAGGGAACCCCAGATTACATCTGCGGTCCGTACCTTTCAGTAACCCAAACTGGTTCCCTTCTGTGTGTTTGGGAAAATACCACCAGTAGGGTGTGTCTTCCTTTTTAATAGGGAAAGTTAAATATGAAAACCTGAAGCGGCTTATTGAACTGGTTTTGAGTTCAGGCGGCCCTCTCGCCCCATCATTCCGGTCACCACTCCTCTCACTTTGTTGTTCTTTTTCCTGTCCTGTTTTCTTCTTATATCTTCTTACAGGTAAATAACCTGGATCTTAATTTGGAGGCTGTTAAAATTTGCCGGGGATGAGCTTGTTCTTTGGCAAAATTAATATTTAAAATGAAATATGATGAGCTATCGCCAGGATCTTGTTCTGAAGCTGTTAAAATTTGAAGGAGATGAGCTTGTTCTTTGGCAAAATTAATACTTAAAATGGAACACGATCAGCACAAAGTCGAAAAAGAACTCCATACGATATGCTTAACAATTTGAGGACTTCAAAAGGCCTTCACACTATCTTGTGTATTTCCATTATTTATTTAGCGACTTCTCTTTTTTCCGGGAGTGTTGATAGACTAAAGCTCTGGAAACAAAGAATGTGCCATGTGGATGCTGTCCCTTGTGCCAACTTTACTTTAATACCTCTGTTCATTCACAGTCAGGCAATTACTTAAATAAGAGTGCACAGCCAACATGAAAGCATTAACCCAATAGAATTAGCCGGTGCCTGCTATCCTCTAGATTCACTGCAGCATTTCACAAACATGTTAGCTAGAAGATAATGCAACCATTGCAGTAATCATTAAAAGTCTTTGTCCATATTTATTATTAACAAGTGATGCATTTCAGAATGTTACTGGACTTCATTTGCATTTTATCCTACTGAAAATCCAGTGTCTTAATTCGAATCCACCTCACTATTCCTCGATTTTATTATATTGCAGGCCAAATTTTGGCCACTGTCCACAGGGTGATATGGTGACTCTTTCCATTGAGACTTTGAATGTCTAAATCACAGCATTTTTTTTTTGTCTCTGATGTTAATAACAATGAGAGTCTATTGCATTTACAGTTTTCTCAGATTAACATGAAGGCAAGAGGAGACTTGGAAAGCAGGCCCAGGCCCAGGTTCACATCACACCTCCACTCCTGATTATGCGGTTTGACCTTGGATGAGTTACTTAGCCTCTCTGTGCCTTGGTTTCCTCATTTATAAAATGGGTATAATATCAGGATTATATCAGGTAGTCTGTATCATGGTATTTAGTACAGTATAAACCTATAATAAATACTTTATAAATATTAGTTATATATTACTAAAGTGCCATTAACCATTGTACTGAATTCATAAACTTTTTTTTTTTTTAAGAGATAGAATCTCACTCTATGGTTACAGCAAGTGTTACAGCTGGTGGTCCTGAAGATCGAAAGTTTATTCTCACTGGTGGGCTCAGAGGGGCCTTGCCACCAAATTCTAAACTCTGTCTACCCGATTTTTCCCATTTTTATTAAGTTGGGGTAGTCTGAGGGGTGGGGTATCAGGTTGCTAATGCCCACCAGGTAATAGGTTAATATTATGTTGATGCTCCAGGCAATAGATTTAGTGTTATGCTGATGCCAGGCAATAGACTAGTTGATGGGTCAGGTAACAGGTTAGTATTATGCTGATGTGGGTCTTCCGTGAGTGGTGGGGGTCTTTGGTGCCTGATGCTCCAAGTAATAGATGAGGGTTTCCCTTATGACCCTTGCCCAGGCTGGAGTGCACTGGCCTGGCCATAACTTATGGCAGCCTTGTACTCCTGGGCTCAAGTGATCCTCCTGCCTCAGCTTCCCAAGAAGCTGGGCCTATAGGTGTGCACTACCATGCCTAGCTAATTCCTTAATTTTTTTGTGGAAATTGGGGTCTCACTATGTTACCCAAGTTGGTCTCAAACTCCCGGCTTCAAGCAATTCTGCCTCACCCTCCCAGAGTGCTAGGATTATAGACATGAACCATTGTGCCCTGCCTGAATTCATGGACTTTTAAAGGCTTTTTTTTTTTTTTTTTTTTTTTTTTGAGACAGAGTCTCGCTTTGTTGTCCAGGCTAGAGTGAGTGCCGTGGCGGTCAGCCTAGCTCACAGCAACCTCAAACTCCTGGGCTCGAGTGATCCTTCTGCCTCAGCCTCCCGGGTAGCTGGGACTACAGGCATGCGCCACCATGCCCGGCTAATTTTATATATATATATCAGTTGGCCAATTAATTTCTTTCTATTTATAGTAGAGACGGGGTCTCGCTCTTGCTCAGGCTGGTTTTGAACTCCTGACCTTGAGCAATCCGCCCGCCTCGGCCTCCCAAGAGCTAGGATTACAGGCGTGAGCCACAGCGCCCGGCCCTAAAGGCTTTTATTAATGAATTTAACACAGATTCTTCTCAACACAGATTTGGTGTCCCTTTTTTTTTCTTACTTGAGATTTATTAATTTAATTATGTTGCATTTCTTAAAGCGGATATACAATCTTTTTTTCTTTCACATTATTTCTGCCAGTGTAATGAATGTAAAGTATTAAACCTAAGCATCTAAGAAAGGAAATTTCCCCTTTCACCCATCTAATTTTATCTACAGTGCTGTCATTACTTTAAAGCATACTGAATCCCACAAATAACCCTGTCAAACTTTTCTAGATTTTTAAGGAGGCAGAATGTTAAACAGTGACTTGGAAGCTGAGCTGAGCTGGAAGAAGGAATAGTGTTGGCGTGCTAGTCCAAAACGCTGCTTTGTTTCTTTTGAACTTTAAATTGCTTATTCATCTAAAATACAGAAAAATCCAATATCAAGCAGAATCTTATTTAGGGGGAGAAGAGTCCCAACAGTAAGGCATTACACCTTTTTAAATATCCTGTGAACTGATATGTTAGTAGCCTAAGGTAATAGATACCCACTGAATAGATCCTTGTTTCATTTTTAAACTTCCCTCTTACCCAGTTAATATCTTAATTTATGCATTGATGTCTGGAGGCATGACACTGACCAAGATACATTTGTTATACATGGAAACACATAATTACTAATATTTTTGTTACCAAGTATTTTTCTATTTCCTGATAATTTATAACTGATACTATATTTGTTAGAAACAACCTAGAGGCCCTAGGGGAAGTCAAGGAGAAGGATGGAGATCTGCCCTGCCTAGTTGCGGTCATTTTTGGCCCTGGGGTATGACACAAGCTCCCTGGTCCTTTCTGCTGTCAGCTCTTCTTACAGACCAGCTTCCTGTCTGTATATCAGATAAGCACAGGCTTCTCTCACTCTGCAGGTCCACTGCCCCTCCCTTTATGTGCGCAAGAGTCGCCAGAGGTCTTTTTAAAAGGCAGAGTCCAATTCTCTAGATCTGGAATGGGGCCTGAGAGTCTGCATTTCTGCCCAGCCATGGGGGGATGCTGCTGCCTCCAGTTCTCAGACCTAACTTTGAATAACAAAGCTTTAGGACGTGGGCGGGCAAACTTTTCTGTAAAGGGCCAAATAGTAAATAGTTTTTAGCCTTTGCAGGTGATTTGGTCTCAGTCTGTTACAACTACTCAGTTTGCCCTTGCAGCAAGAAAGCACAAAGCCGCTAAAGACCAAACAATGGGCAGGGCTGTGTTCCAGTAAAACTTTATTTACCAAAACAGGCCAGATTAGGCCCTCAGGCATAGTTTGCCAAACCCCTGCTTTGCGTCTGCGCCTTGGGTAGCACATTCTCAGGACTGAACACTTGATACCCTGCCCATCTTCCCCACCACGTCTCTTTGAGGCGCCCCCAGGATACTTTGTGTACTTCTCTCTGTCTGCTCTTCTCTCTTCCCAGCGCCTGTCATGGCTGGGGTACAGCAGATGCTTGGTAGTGTTCCGTGATCTCAGTGATTACATTAAATATTTGTAGTTAGTGCTTTATGGGGATGTTTGGAGATTAAATGATTCTGTATATGAAAAACAGTGAGAAGTGTGCCTAGCCTATAGTGATCACTTTCTGAGTTTGCTTTTTACATTTTGGGTTTTTTTGTTTTGTTTTGTTTTTTGGTTCTTTTTGAGACAGGGCCTCTGTTGCCCAGGCCGGAGTGCAGTGGCACAATCACAGCTCACTGCAGCCTTGAACTCCAGGGATGGGACTATAGGCTCATGGCACCACACCCAGCCAATTTTTTTTTTTTTTTTGTAGAGACAGGGTCTCATTATGTTGCCCAGGCAGGTCCGGAACTCCTGGCCCTCAAACAGTCCTCCCACTTTGGCCTCCCAAAGTGTTAGGATGACAGGTGTGAGCCACCACACTCAGCCGCTTTTTACATTTTTAATTGCTAGACCAGTCACATCTTTTCTGTGTTTGTGTTTATCAATATTAACTGCCTTGAACTGATTTACTGGCCAGGACCAAGCACAAAGTACTTTGTAAGCATCTGAACAACCCATGAATGCTTTTGGAAGTAGGTAATTATTCAGCAGTTTTATTCATGACTAGCAAACCTAATCCTGGCACTGCTTCCCAGTGTAGCGCTATCTGTGCACTCTCCTAGCTTCCCTCTTGTCGTCTTAGCTGCCCAAGGATCTTCGGTTACTTCAGGTTTCTGATAACTCGCCGTGGTGGTTTTACCCACTTAGCTAAGGGTGTCTTGCCGGTCCACGTCTCCCTCTTCTTCCTCCTCATTTGCTG